TAGTACTATCCCTGCACACCATACTTTGATTACTAAAAATAAACCCTGCGTGCCATCAAAACTGCGCGAAACCCATTGCTATAGTAAGAGAATGATTCGCTAAAACAGATTGGGCTAACATGAAAGTATTAAAGTACGAACGCAACTATGAATTCTTGTAGCGTAGACATATTGTTACTTTTTAGGAACTATTTTACAGGATGCCGAGAATATGGAAAGCTATTTCACACAATATCGAACAAAAATTTTCTGATGGAAAAGTAAGAAAATTTGGCCAATATTTAAATAATTTCATTTTGTCAGTGTTGACAGTTGAAGTCTTAAAGCGTGCAGCACGATGTTGAAAGCACATAATACTGTTTTTAAAATATTGAACAGGAAATGAAATTTCAAAATTCATTGAATTATGTTTTCGACTGCTAAATTCAAGTTAAAACATGTATTGTTGTGGTTATATAAAACAAAAACGTTTTAGTAAGTTTGAATCTTATGCAACTTTTGGGTTTATAGACATATCTGAAAACTGGCTGCTAGCGGAGTGGCTGCTAGCGAGTGGCTGCTAGCTTGAGTCTAGCATAAAACGGTTAAGAAGATACTGATCATGAGAAATTTTCTTTTTTTTTTACATATATTATTTTGGTAAAATCTAAATTGCATTACATGTATGATCAAATTAAAAGATAGTCTTAGTTGACTATTCATGCAAAATTGTTGCAACTGTATTAAAAATTTGAATGATATATCACAAGTACTAAGTCTTATTTCGAAATGGGCCGAATCATTGGGTGTTGTCATCGTCGACAACTGAATTATGATGAGGACGACAGAGGAAAAGTAGCACATATAAATGTATACATTAAGCCTTGCAACAGTCGACTTACAAAAAAAAACCCATAATATTACATAAGAAATTAAATAAAATAAAATGGCCAGTGTGTTTAGTGTTAGTTTAATGTGATTTTTTGTTTTTTTTTTTATTTTTAAATCGATATTTTCAAGGTATTTACAACGTAAATATAAGTTTTGTATATAGATATAGGAAGATGTGGTATGAGTGCCAATGAGACAACTCTCCATCCAAGTTACAATTTATAAAAGTAATCCATTATAGGTCAAGGTACGGCCTTCAACGCGGAGCGTTGGCTCACACCGAACAGCAAGCTATAAAGGGCCCCAAAAAATTACTAGTGTTAAACCATTCAAACGGAAAAACCAACGGTCTAGTCTATATAAAAACGAGAAACGTATGTTCATTTGTTCTTACATTTTCCTTCATTAATTAAAATTTACCTACCAGAAGCAAGAAAAGTAAACAAAAGCAAACACAAGTGTAGGCCTTCCATTTTTAACAGGAAGTTCTTGATAATTGTCTATTTCACGGATGGTTGATTTTAAAAGGCCTTTTGATCAATAGGTTGAAATTTAAGAACATGAATTTATTAAATATCCCTTCATTACAGGTACAGTCTGTAAAGGTATATTCCAAATATGTGCACTTCATATTTTATTTGAAATGTCCATTGTAAGGGAACAGATTTAAGAGCAAAAAAGAATAAAAGTTTGTGTACATTCTCAAAATGTTTTTTTTTATTTTTAATTTCATAATTTATCTAAACAAAAAATAAAAAATTACCCTAAAGAAACAACACCTTGAGTTTGGTTTTTTTTTAGAATTTTTATACTTTGCCTTCAATATTCATTAAAGTTACAATTTTGTTATAAATAAATAGCTCATATCTCTGGTATTTTACGTCTTCAGAGTATTACTGTGGGCTTGTGAAAATCTGGATTAAAGAAGATGACTCTCATGCACATGACATGCAATATGAAAAGCCAATAAAACCTCTATGACGTGATATATCATTGCCAATAAAAAACTACCCACCGGAACGATTAACAAGGATGTAGTGCACTACATGTGTTTACATGACGGAGACATTATGAATAAAACAGTTAAATAAAATACAAAAAATATTGCGAAATGTATGTTAATCGCAAAATGTTTAAATGAAAGTGGGATGGATAATAATGTCAACTGTTCCACTAAAAATATGACAAGCAAATGACAACTTTTTTTACAAAGATTTAGTATAACAGTGATGTGGCAGGTTTTTCTTGTGGTTTTCGTTTTGTTTGTTTTCTTTTTTTGTTAAGAAAGTTCATTGATTTTGGATCAAGAAAAAAATACGGTATTGTAGTCGATGTGGAATGATAATGAATATTTAGATGAGTGATTTGGTTCTTCTTAATCGTTTTGTCATGTCGAAAAAGATCGATCTTGTCAAAAAGGTCGACACGCCAGCGCGTCAACAGGTCAACAAGTTTGCAAGTCAACAGGTTTACGGCTTGACTGATCGACAGTTTGGCAGGTGGACAGTTCGGCAGGTCGACAGGTTAACTGGCCTAGTAATATTATTAGTTACACAGTGTGCAATTGTCCTTATACGGGAATTTATCGGGTCAATAAATTCCGTATTAGGACAATTGTCTTTGCACACTGTGTAACGAATTTATCCTGATTTTCTTATCACACCACTTATTTATTGTTTTTTTTCCATGATAAATTACGTATTAGGACACTTGCACACTGTGTAACAAATTTTTCAAAATTTTTAAATGACACCACTTATTTATTGTTTTTTTTCCATGATAAATTCCGTATCAATGGTTATGGTTTGGGTTAGTGTAAGGGATATGGTTTGGGTTAGGTTTTGGATAATGGTTAGGGTTAACGTAAGGGATAAGGATTAGGGTCAGGGTTAAGTTTATGGTTAGGATTAATTTTAGGGTTAGGGTTAATTTGGGGTTAGGTTAAGGGGTAAGGCTTGTGGTTAGCATTAGGGTTATGTTTAGGGTTGCTTTTTTTTATATAAAAGAAACGAATTGATATATAAATTAATTGATATGTGCCCCGTCGACCTATGACTGGCTAACCTGTCGACCTGTAAAATTTTTGTCGTTCTGATTCTTTTAACTGTTGCCAATAATTGCAAAATATATAAAGAATTGATATAAAGGATAATTGATATTTTTCCTGTTGACCTGTCGACTTGCTGACCTGTAGACCTGTCGGCTAGTTAACATATGAACTGCTTACATGTCGACTAGTTAACATATGAACTGCTTACATGTCGACATGTCGACCTGCTAACCTATCGACCTGTCGACTAGTTACAACATATTGACAGCTAGACTATCGACTTGTCTATCTGTTGACCTGTTGATCTGTTTATCAGGACAATGTTATGGCCTACTGATCTGTCAACCTGTTGACCTGTCGGCTTGCTGACATATATACCAACATAATTGTAAATCTTAAAACTAGTTAAAATGTAGACTATTTAATTTGTGTCCTTTGACCCGCTGACTGGTTAACCTGTTGACTTGTTGAACAAAATATATTATGTTAATTTGTGGGTTTTTTTTTTTACCCGATGACCTGTTGAAAAAAATGAAAAAAACACGTTATAAATTTCATGCGTCCGAGGCGCTTTTCTGGATTTACCTTCATCAGGAACGCTCAAAGCCGAATATTTGAAAGCCAATGATGTATAAAGAACCGAAATAGTCAAAGAGTTTTATGACCAAAGAGGACATAAACCAATAGCCAAATCCATCTACGGCCAACTTTGCCTGAGGGACCTGAAACCTCAGTTTCTTCATAATTTCAAAATTTATAAACGGACAATTGAACCTGGTCAATTTTTATCCATCATGTAGCCAACTTTGTCATGGAGATGTGTTTATTTCTCACCTTTTTCAATAATTTTGACAACTTTTTTTACAAAGATTTAGTATGACTTTGTGCATATTCCAAGTTTTCGTGTTCATATTTGTAATTAATAATGAATATATGTGACAATCTATATGCATAATGAAAGGTCGAAATTGGTTCGTGTAGAGTCCTCAACGGTGACAAACTTCAAGAAGGTCTGAAAAAACATAATGCCCATGTAAATTACCTTTGTACTGATAAATAAAAACGTAAATCAGTCATTCTGTGTTATGTCTCTCGTTTTTGTTCTTTCGTATTGTATGTTTTTTATATTTTCATTAACATTAATAGGTACAAAATGTACTGTTATACTTACGTTTCCTTTATTGCTAAATGTTATTAATCCTGGCGTTTGTTTTTCAGTTGAATTCAATTTGTTTTTAACTTTCGTCGGTCTCTTTTATATCTGACTATGCAATGTGGGTTTAGCTCATTGCTGACGACCGTACGGCGAGCTGTAGTTGCTTTAATCCGCTTTATTTTGAACTCTGTTAGATAGTTGTCTCATTAGCATACATAACATACTTCCATATTAAAAAGCGTTTTCTTTCTATAACTATATTTATTATACCTCAGTATGTATTTTCTTCATAAAATCATAGAATAAATGTACAATTTTAAGAAATTGTCTGAAAAAAAACAACTGTTAACCGATTTATAGTTTCAAAAACTAGGAACTATTTACTGGAATCAAACATTTTAAAGTTTCAGAAAATATTAACCGGTTTATAGTCTATTTACGGGAAATACTGGAAGCAAATATATCCCTGTTTTTTACCTGTATCATAAAACACTTATTAACTGGCTATTCGGACAATAGAATGTTAATTCTCCCCTCGACAGAAACATGGCAATCATCATCATGGCCAGTAAATAAGTTGTATGATATTGCTTGACATTTTATTCTCACAGACATTTTACGTGAAAGATCTTTCGAAACTCGTTTATCTAATACATTTGTACTTTCCGATAAAAAGTAAGATATATGTTAGTATTTTTGAAGACACACATTCACACCTACATATACCTACGGGGGTGCAGTTATCAAGAAATTTGAAAATATTTTTTTTGCCGAAATGGACTCGAACAGAATAATTCAATGTTTTAAATATTGTGTGTGTGTTTCGTTTATAGACCGTGGAAACTAACACTTTAAAACAATGAATTTAAGTGATCCGTTATGGTTTGCTTTCAAATAATTGAATACGTGTATAACATATGGTGTCAGTATACAAAAATAAATATAGTAAATTGTTCAAAATGGCTTCCCGATCGTTGCTGATACTAATATCTTTAGTGACCATAGGTAATGTATTACACATAACATAGTATTTAAAACCTTTATAATAACAAAAATGGTAAAAGCAGTTTTTCTAATGAGGCGATTCCATAGACAGATAATTCTATTCTTTTCGTCTACAAACGTTTTTACCGTATCCTGTTACTGTTAAGATACATTGAATGTTTGAAAATGTATTGATTATTACTATATATTGTCAGGCTCCTAATGTCGGTAAACGTTGGAGCACTTCATCAGTTATTTCGTTTAATTCATCCATTGCACTTCATATTCAGTTTTTATTATAACCATGTAGATAGTTATTACCAAATGAACATCAAAGCATAAGCCGCTCTTTTCTTATTTGACAAAAAGTAATTACTAAACTGGTCCGCCATTCCATCTAAAGCGTCGCACCGCAGCGATAAGTGAACACAACAGGAGTCCAGTTTAGAGTAATTACTGGCTTATCCATCAATATACCCATCTATAATCGCAAAGACTTTACAGGTTAGGTTAACGCGTTCCTGGTGAAGGTAAATTCAGATTTAGATTTAGATTTATTGTAAAGCAACGCTCAGACAATATATGTGTAACATGAGGTAAATATACAATAACAAACATGATTTATAATACAATGGTAACATTTAAAAACAAAAACAAATAAACATTCACACAAATCAATATATATATATATATATCACAATTAGTTATTTAGCTTTCTAATAAAGATAACACCTGTCTATATAAATTAACATTGCAATAAGATAACATAACATATAATTTCTGTTTGCTTGGATGCTTCGTATAATAACTAGGGATATGTTTTTCTCTAAAAATAACCAGTTGGGGAGACTTACATATAAAAAGAAAGTGAAATTCGTCTCCTACATTTTCTTTACATATGTGACAATTCAAAAGCGCTTCGAAGGCACGAAATCTGCAGAGTGTTATTCTCTTTTTCTTCAAAACGATTTACCGTGCAATGGATTGATACAATATTTATCCTTGTTCATGTTCAGCAATATTTTCTTCGATTTTTTTATTTTTAAAATCACCAACTTCAAGTTTTGAAAAAGGGTGTGTATCAATGATAAATGATAATTACTTACACCATGAATTAAAATTAATACACGCGTACGTCTATCAGATAAGAACAATCTAAGATTGTCAACCTCTACAAAAATTAAAACCTCTTTTCAAAATCTTGTTTGTATTGCTCTATATTAACTAAGTAGATGACCTGTGGGTAATAAAAGCGACAATTCAGTGGGAAATTTTGTGACAAAATACTACCTCCCCTGTGAATATCGAAAACTAGATCTTCTCAATGTTTGTCCCATTTTAGCAAGGACGCTATCAATTGTGGATTCTTGGTAAATAGTAAAAACAGAAATAAGTTGAAATAAAAACAAAACTTCCATTCAATGTTATTATTTCCCTCCTTAGGTAGAAAACGACGACTACAGCAGGCTATAAAAGCTTAATGTAAAACTGGTTTAAAAGGTTGCTATGCTAATAAATTCTTGGAGTACCAACTTCAATTTATTTTTCTACTGGCTGTATACCTTTCTGGAACACGCTAATTATCCGAATATATATACAGCTAGATCAGAGAAAGTCGGGGAAAAATTCCATAGGAATCGATTGATATGCAGCAAAGACTTTTAAGTTACTGAGCAAATTCAAACGGACCTTATCTCGATGTAAACATTGAATGTGAATAGATCGAGAAGACCGCAAATACATGAACAAAAATCGAGACGACCTTTTCTTAAAATTGTATAAAAATAGTAGAAAGATAGCTACTTTATAAAAATGGTTATTTTTTAATGTCTTAACCTGCACAGACATACTTTTAAAATCTAATATTCACAAAAAGACAATATTTCTTTATTGAGTGTACATGTGACAAGAGCAGATCGGTGTGCTCGATAACTTAGGTGTGAAAAAATAAGTATACTTTGGGAACTTGTAACATGCTAAGGGCTTTGTGGAACACTCCAACAATTGGTGACCCAAAAGATCTTAAGATTTTGTATTTTCATGATTTTTTTCAATTTTTTTTATCAATATGCAGTAAAGATTGGCTGTTTTTAAATTTCAGTTTCACAAGCTTCTAATGCAATTATCTCGATAAATACTGAACATAAAACATCGTGTATTTGCATGTATACTTCTAATAACACAGTTTAACAATTAACTTATTTAAAATGAACAATTATTATTTGGAAATAATTTTTGATCAGTATCGTCACCGGCATTGGTTTATTATTGCATTTCTCGACTCTATCATAAGAAGAGTGAATTTTCTTTTAGTTTCGTTCACTGGATATCCCACTGAATTAACACAGTATAACACGCAAACTTTACACTTCTGTAAAACTTTTATTTGCGATATTATCCGAGTAATGGAGTATTCAATTAAGAATTGAATGCTTCTTTTTGTAAATTTATTGGGGTGTAAAAGCGTTGACCGAAGTACATTTTGTATGAAGCGCGGAAGCGCTTCATTCTTAAAATGTGCACACGGTCGACGACCGTCTTTTACAACCCTATAAAATTACTAAAAGAAGCATTCGATACTTATAATTACATTTTTTGCTAGGATCATGAAAACACGATTTCTATCAAGTTTTCTTTGCCTGTACACTTTATTGTGGAAGCTCGTGTCACCATGAATGTTACATTTCATTTTGAAATGAAGGTTAATACAGAATGACGCGAGATTGCGGTTAGCTAATCAAAATAACGTATTATAATAAAACATACATGTAATGTAATTATTTTTGATTTCACAAATTCACAAATTCCCTTATACATGTACCTATCGTCTTATTTTTCAAAAATCACCCATATCAAGCTGGTATTTCAATATAACTAACTAAGGCAGTGGCTATTCTTCAGGCTAGCCGGACAAATAGAAAAAAAATGTCTATTCTTCCGGCCATCCGAAAGAAAAGCTTTTCTCTGCTATTATGCTATAATTCCGGCCAAACAATAAATAATGAATATGTTTTTGGTTAAGTGGTTATTGTAGCATCCAATGGAGAATGTAGTGGCAAAAAATTTATTCACATGCAAACACTGAGAATTGGAACTGTTCCTTTTTTTGCACGTTCTCAGAACGGACGTTACTGGTTAATATGGAACTATTCATTTTGTGCACGTTCTCCGAGCGGACGTTACTGATAATAAATTCAAGAAAAAACGTTCTGGAAAATAGTAATAATGAAAAAATAAAATAAAAACAGAATAATTATGGGAATAAACTCCTCAAGTACCAACTTTGATTTATTTTTCTCCTGGTTGTTCTATGCAACACGCCGATTCCCCGTAGATATAAACATCTTGGCAAATGAGATAAAAAGAAGAATATCGATATCGATTGATTTGCAGCAAATACACTTTCTACCTATGAATTTTCTGCAAGGTTAGGAGTCGGGCCACTGATTCATTGCTTCAATTGTGACATCTAAGATTCCTAAAAGTTTGGTTCCAATAAAGTCGTCAAATGATTTTGAACGATTTTTTATTCAAAATGTTCGGTGATTTTTAACACATAGAAAATAAGAGAAAGGGATAGGCACATAAGTAAGACTGTGTTTACGATAACAAAAACATTATTTTTTTATTGAGAAAATAAATAAAACAGAATAAAAAAGGGGTGTTTACTCCAATCCTGGTATACTATTCCCAGTCCAATCATATCAAAGCATGTTCATAGATCTGCGTTGTAGCAGAACTTAAAATAAAGCATCCAGGTATATTTGATTTAGTCGTGTTCCTGTGGATATGATGTTATGCAATTTTTCTTCCATTGATACAGGTAAAGGCAATGGGATAAATCAGCAATTCCAGTTTGATTTCACGCTTTATTTCTCTCAGTTTACATGCACACACTTTTGTTCTTGATTCTGTCCTATAGAGATTTGTTTTAAAGCAATCACATTCTCTTAATTTTCTTGAGGACATCTTTAAATATAAATCACGATTTCCAATTCTCAAAACGTCCATTGCATACGCGCGTTTGCAATCCGACACTTTATCCGGGACACTTTCTGCGCCACATGATACTTCTGTCGATATTGAACATTTGCACATCCGGAAACGGATGGCCGGAAAAATAGAGATTTTTAACTATTCTTCCGGCTAGCCGGAAGTAGTCTGAAAAGGGGGATTCTGCCGCATTCCCCCATTTCAAGGGCAAAAACCTGCATAGGACCCCCCACCCCAGCTCCGTAATGCAAACGGACCGCCTCCCAGTTGAGTATAAAGTAAATACAAGCATGGCATTCGTTCAAAAGATGGAGGAACTCAGAAGTTCAAAAATCGTAGACAACGAATTTATCAATGATAATGTTTTTGAGGAAAAGGCAAAGGACCAGAGTTTGGAAACCCTGAAATGGAAGGAACTCTCAACCGGTGTGAGCTATAAAATCCTGGAAGTGGTAGAAGTAGATGGGAAGTTTGGGAGGAGTAAGATCCTTACCTTGAAAAACAGAGAAGGAGAAACGAATAGGGTGTGGGTCTGCAGTGGACTGAACAGAGAGAAGGAACCCTTGGAAGGAGCCTTCGTGAGAAGTACAGGCTTTAAAAGTCAGCAAAAAGACCAAGCAGGAGTACTTCTCTTACGACCTTGTGAGAAATTAAGTCCAAAGAAAAAAAAAAAAAAAAAAAAATGGGTGGGTTTGAAAACATTTCCCGATCCGGCAAAAATGTCGGACCGGGAAATTTTTTTTTATGTTTGAAACGGAGCACATCGTGAAGTGAAGCGGAATGGAACACGATGTGTGTAGTGAAGCGTAACGGAACGATGTGTGACTTTTTTACGGCGCATGCGCATTTGATACGCACAAGATTTTAGTAATGCCCTTATTGTATAGCCAGTACGTCAATAGTCCTTTTTACGCGGGCTCTAAGACGTTATCGTTTTGCAGTGTTGCTAACTGCCTTTGTGACGTTGTCTTGTTTGGATTATTTAAGGAATGACTGTAATATTTTTTCTGTCTATGAAGAAATAACAT